TTCTGTGTAGAATACAGAAGTGCTGGAGAGTTGGTCTTGCTGGGGAGGGAATGCCTAGTTTACAACAGCTAAGTTTAACCTAATGTGGTCATCTAGTCCATGGTCAGCCTCATGGAAGGCTATTTCCTGTAACTCTTAAAATGTGTTTCTTATTGTATTACTCTTTGGCACACTGAGGAAACTTGGGAAGATTTTCTTTTCTTTTCAGAAGAATCTGATAAAGTTTCAGTAAAAAGAATTAAACAAAACCTTGGCTCTCCTAGCAACAGCTGTTTTGCAGGGTAGACTGACTGGGGGCAACTAAAGCCAGCTTTTATGCTTTCTTTTCTAAAAAGCTGATCTGCACCAGTGCATTTTACTTGTCAGAGCTATGTCTGTATCTCAGCTGCTCAGCAAGGCTTTGAAATCTGAAATATAGCACCTGCTTGCAGGTGTCCATACCTTATTGGATTGGGGCATTTAATTTTCAGGGAAGAAGTATGCACATATTTTTCTGACTTTCAGAACAGTGTCTGTTTTTTGTGGCTATATTGGTCTGTGTTCCCTAAGTTGGCACATACTGACTGGGTTCAGACAACATGATAACCAAAGGTTGAGTATGGGTTGTCATTGAACCCATTGCTAGAAGGAGTCTTTCCATACATGGGAGGAAGATTGTTAATGCAACCCATTATCATCAGTCAAGCTGAGATACATTTTTGGGATTCTTCTAGAGTATGTTGCCTTTTCCTTAAAATGTGTATCATATCAACTCCTTTCACCAAGTTTACCTATTGCTCCAACTAGTTCAGAACTATCAACATTGACTGGCAGCAGTTTTCCAGGATCTTAGAGATCTTTTCCAACCCTACCCAGAGGAGGCAGCAATTGAATCTGGGACTTCTGCATGCAAACTTTGTGTTCTAGCACTGATAGATGCTTCTCCCAATGTAATTAGAGTCCTTTTATATATTTCAGTCTTCAAATAATCCCACTTCCAAATGTGTTCATTTGAGCCATTTCAGTGAATGCTGCCATTAGTCTTTTCAATCAATATTTTCAATTTGTTATGCCAGTGCATGAATTAGGCAAATCATAAATTGTGGTGATGTAATTACCATGGAAACTGCTTTGTGACCCTTTAGACTGCGGTTCAAATGTGATAGTTTCTAACAGCCTCCTGTTACTTAATATCTAATTAACTACAGTATTATAGTTATTTGCTATAATGAGCAGAGATAGGACAACTCGGTCTGAAAATCCAACCAAAACTTTATATTAATTTGAACAACTATTATACTTCTTTCTCACTAATCTTCAACTAAAATTAGTTACTCTGCAAATAAATGGATCACAACTGGATTGTGGATTAACATTCTCTTTTATTGGCATTTTGTTTCATCTCACACACCAGTTACAAACGTCACAGAAGATTAACAATGATTACAGATATAAAATGAATAATATCACAAGCCTTGAGAAACTGTGAGTACTAAGACACACAGAACTAAAATTGCCTTTGTGAAAGCAATTTGGTTTTGTATCCAGACATTACCCAGTAAATCAATTAGTATTAGGTGTGATCAAGAAGTACACATTCGGTTCATTTACATACCTTAAGTCCCTTTATGAATGTATAAAATTACACAACTGGTTCTAACATTGGCTAATTGAGGTCATTATTGCATAATCCAACATGCAGCAGCTATTCTCTTGCAGAGGTCTTTTCCCTAGCCATGCCTCCCAGATCCTGTAATTAAGGAGTGAAAGAAGAAATAGACGATGCATTTTGTTTCTCCATTTATTAAAATTGTAACCTTTATTCATGTGTTTTCTATAACCATGTATTTTTTCACAATCCTCTCACTGTTTTTGTCATTTCAATTTGTACATGTTTCTTTAATTTCCTTGAGAAAGCCGATTCTCTTCTCCTGCCAGTTGTCCTCAGTTTTCAGGCACATTGGCCAAACAGTATAACTGCCATTTAAACTGGACAGCACATGTAGAAGCCCACAAGAATGTCCAGACAGTCATATTGTGTAACTGGCTTTAAGTGAGTCCATTAACTTCAAATTGGACTTCCCAACATCAACACATCCCTACTTATTCTGTGTGCAGAGAGTCCTAGGTTCAATCCCTAAGTATCTTCAGCTCATACTAAGAACCTTTGCCAAAACCTTAGAGAGTTGTGGACTATTAGCAATACTGAGCCAGACAGACCAATGGTCTGACTCTGTATAATCAAGCTTCCTTCATTTTTACAATGGATGACTCCTGTATTTCAAGTGCTACACAAGGTATACATAACATGCAATTAGGCAAAGCATTCCATGTCAATAGAATAGCAACTCAGAGGGAATAGGGTATAGTGGGTGGAAAAGAAGATAAGTAGATACAAAGTCTGACCCATTTTAGTTTGCAAATACTTTGCTAGGCACACAAAAAACAAACTGAGTCAAGAACTCTCATCTCAGAATATCAGATTGTAAAGGGTTTATTCAAGTTATTAAAGCTGTAGTCATATTGCCACTTGGCTTGGAACAAGCTGTATTGAATACAGTGAGGATTTCTTCTGAGTGGACATGTGTGGGATCACACTACAAAAGGTATAAGCACAGTGGGGAAAGAGGTAGTCACTTGAATTGAATTTCAAACAGCAAAAAGAATCCTGAAACACACTGAGAAGATCCTGGTGACACTGGTAAGGAAGAGAGGTACAGATGTACAGTACGTCTTATATTTCTGGGCAAGGTGTTGGAGCGAGTGGTGGCGGGACAACTCCAAGCACTCTTGGATGAAACTGATTATCTGGATCCTTTTCAGTCCGGCTTCAGACCCGGGTACAGTACTGAATCTGCCTTGGTCGCCCTGTACGATGACCTGTGCAGGGAGAAGGACAGGGGGAGTGCATCCCTGTTGGTTCTTCTGGACCTCTCGGCGGCTTTCGATACCATCGACCATGGTATCCTTCTGGATAGGCTTGTGGGATTGGGGGTTGGAGGCACTGCTTTGCAGTGGTTCTGCTCCTATCTCAACAGTCGATTCCAGAAGGTAGTGCTGGGGGACCATGTCTCTATGTCATGGCAGTTATGCCATGGAGTACCACAGGGCTCCATTCTATCCCCTCTGCTATTTAACATCTATATGAAACCGCTGGGAGAGGTCATCAGGAGGTGTGGGCTGCGGAATCATCAATACGCTGATGATACCCAGCTCTACCTCTCGTTTTCCACTAATCCAGGTGAGGCAGTGGCTGTGCTGAACTGGTGCTTGGCCGAGGTAATGGAATGGATGAGGGCCAATAAACTGAAACTCAACCCAGACAAGACAGAGGTCCTGTTGGTTGGCGGATCGGGTTTCGGAGAGGGTGGATTTGACCTGGTCCTGAATGGTGCAACACTCCCTCTTGGGGATAAGGTCCGCAGCTTAGGAGTACTCCTCGACCCGGAGCTTTCTTTGGAAGCTCAGGTGACAGCGGTGGCGAGGAACGCCTTCCTTCAGCTTCGGCTGATTAATCAGCTGCGCCCCTACCTGGAGTACGACTGCCTGGAGACGGTGACACACGCGCTGGTGACTTCCCGCCTAGACTTCTGTAACGCGCTTTACGTGGGGCTTCCCCTGAAGACAGTCCAAACACTTCAATTGGTGCAAATTGGAGCTGCCAGGTTGCTGACGGGGACGGGGCGTTATGCTCACATGACTCCAGTCCTCCGTCAGCTTCACTGGCTTCCCATTGAAGCCTGGGCCCAATTCAAGGTGTTGATTATGACCTATAAAGCCCTAAACAGCTTGGGTCCTGGCTACCTGAACGAGCGCTTACGTCCGTATATGCCCGACCGCCCTTTGAGATCTGCGGGAGAGTCCCTTCTCCAGGAACCCTCCATGAAAGAAATTAGGAGAGTAAGTACTCGGAGGAGGGCTTTCTCTGTGGTGGCGCCCAACCTATGGAATTCACTCCCCAAAGAGGTCCGCCTGGCACCGTCGTTACTGGTTTTTCGGCGCCAGGTAAAGACCTTTTTATTTAAACATCATTTTAATTGTTAAAACATATGATCTGGCCAGGGCAACTTCTTCTTCCTTCTCTTTTCTCCTATATTTTATTTACTTATTTTATACTGATAATTTTAATTTTATATTTGTAACTCAGTGTATTTTTTGTATTTTTGTATTTAATGGTAATTTATTATGTTCTATTGTATTTCAATGTATTTTATTGTGTTGTAAGCCGCCCCGAGGTTTCGGCAAGGGGCGGCATAGAAATGTTATAATAATAATAATAATAATATTTCAAACTTTTATATTCTTCTCCATCTTTCTCATAGCCATTGTATGAACTGAGATTTCTGGATGGGAAGAGCATCTATCAGAAAGATGATTACATGGACAATTTGGCTAAAATGTGTCTGAACTGAAGTTTGGAGAATTAAAGTTTTAGTCAGTGTTCCTTTTCCATGCAATGGAACTAGTAACTGATGTACTGCTGTCTGAGGAATAAAAAATGTTTGTGAATTATTTGTACCTCTGACTTTAACTTGTGTAGATTTTAATATGTCCCAGAACTAATACACCAGATTGAACTCAGGACTTTTTCCAAACAATGCATACATTCAACAATTGACTAGAATTAAAATCAGCAATGGGTTAGATCCAGACTTATAGCAAGCTCAATCCACATTGATTTTAATGTGCCTACAATGGTTCTGTTACAACAATGTATCCAACTCACTGATCCTTCATTTGAAACTTTCCAGTATTTTCTAGTGGCAGTATAGCTAGTGGCATTAGGCATTGGACTTAATGGTCTTACTGAGGTGGGGGCCCCTGCTGTTATGCCAGCTCTTCATTCCTTGAGGGAATCCCTACTCAAGGGAATTTCAACTTACCCAACTCCATTTTCTTTTAAATTGTGCATTCTGTTCTAGAAGATATCAAGATCAGTTGACCAAATGGAACATATCTGAGAGAAAACTAATTGTGTAATGTTATGTGATTTTTTAAAAAAAATCCCTTTTCAACTTAAGGTATTTGAACAGTTTGTCAAGACCAGGATAAAAGAAGAATACAAGGAAAAGAAAAACAAGTTACTGATAGCCAAAGAGGAATTTAAAAAACTGCTTGAGGAATCTAAACTGTCACCAAGGTATGATTCAACTTTCCGATATAGATAATGTCTGAGAATTTCCTGAATGAGGATGCTGACTAAGATTAAAACATGCTCAAGGAACATCTGCACACTTCAGAGTATGTCAATACATGGGTGTGATGCATCACAGTTGGCTGCTTCAGGCAGACTGAAGAAAACCCCATTATCATGAATAATTGTGCTTGATTCTCCTTGATTATATATATGGGTGTATATATATCCATCCTGACCTACTACACATAAAACAGAATGAAATGGAAAATACCACTTTAGATTGCAGGTGGTGGAAATACAATGTTTAAATGCTCCTCCATCTAAACCAAGCTTCACTAACAGAAGAAAAATATCATAGCAGGGAGTAAGTTTTTATTCTGGTCCATTCCTGGGGTGTAATTTATTTATTTAAAAGAATTTTATGCAGACATTGCCCCACTATAAACTGCTCTCAAGGTTGGCATCATTTCCCTGCCTTCAAGAAGCATCTCTTAAGCCCAACATTCAAAAACTTTAACGAACTTAAGTTGAAAAGTTAACAACATGAACATCTCTGCAATAAAAAAGGTACAAACTCATTCTCTTGCCTTGTTTTAATGTGTAGATTCAGTTTTATTTTAAGTTCATGTTATGAAGTGCCTATTTCTCTACATATGGATGAGTCACTTGTGTAACTATATGCAAGCCCTGAAAAGAAAAATTCTACAAAATGCTAACAGGCTCATCTCTCTAACAAAGACATGCAAAATTCATTTGTGCAGGGTGGGATGCATTAAGCATTTGACAGGCACGCTTGACAATCCCAATTCATTCCTCTATTCTGTCAGTTATCCTTTCCCCTAGGGTGGGGGAGCCTTTTCTTGAGGAACAGTAGGTGATAATAGGCCACAGAAGCCTGCTTTGTTACACATGGATTTATACAAATGATACCTGAGCACTGTTTCTTGCAAGTATCCTGGGTTCGTAGCTTTCACTGATCACCTTTTCTGGATCTGTGCTGCTCTTATAAAACAGCAGAGAGAGGCCCATGATCTGCTTGAGAAAGTATGGGAAAGTGAAGAAAGGGCTTGGAATGGTAATATTAAACCCGGGTTGCACCTCTAACGATGTCATAGGAGTTATATCCTGGCTTCTTAGGAAAATAATTTGGTTACCTGAAACCAATTATACACAAATTTTGCAGTGTAGGTGTTGTCCATATGGAGCCCCAAAATCCTGATGTCTGGTGATTTATTTTTTGTACAAAATTCCACCCACCAGTTTTCATGGCACCATCCATAGTTCATTCATGATATTCTGGAAGGTAGGGAAAGGTATCTACCATAAAAATGTCAGTTCCCAGAATACCCCTTGGGGATCCACTGGCATTTTGGCTTGGGAGGGATTTCCAAAGAACTATACCATTCATTTGAAAATATGAAAGAAGGAAGGTAGTTTCTTAATTTCCTTCACCTCCAAACCTTCCAAGTTCAGTCCAAATGCCTGATAGTTTGAATGCCAATGCCAATGTTAATCCCTTCTTGATTATGGAGAAAATTTTAAATGTTAAGGTAAGCATCACTTCTGTATATCAAACACATACATAATTAGCATAATTTAAATTGAAATATTAAATTGAATGCATGAAAAATTTGAGATATGGTAATTGATAATATGCTAATCAAAATCTAATCTAACGTTCTAAATATTACTTGTAAATCTGATAGCTTTAAATACCACAAATAGTTAAAAATTCATGGCAAGGTTTTATTTTGCCTTCACTAAAAAGCCAATTTGCAGATGCGATTAGTGTTTGCAATGTACTCAAGTACAGTAAGTGGGTCATAATACAAACTCAGTAAAGCATTTCTTTGATCTTTGAACAAAGTCTAAATTATATTCACATATTAATTTATCATTAGCATGGTGTCTGTCATTTGCTTTCTTCTCCTTCATTGTTTTCCATTAATCCTATTGAGAAGATCATAGTAAAATGTGTGATTCTCATTTGTGATTACTCATTTTTAAACCATAGATTATCTATCTATGGATAGATAACCGATTTTTTAATCAGTCATCCAATAATTATAATGAAAACAAACTACTAGTTGTTGATTGTCAGCACATGTCAGTAGTTCCCCAACTCTTGGTTCAATATAAAAGCTATTACATGTTGCTAAGATGTTATAGAGATTGTATCTTTTCATTCCTTTACTTTTGTAGGCTTTCTTAATGTCTATTTGTTTCATCCAAAAATTTGCAAGTAAAGGTGATAGTGATGCATGTTGGGTCCATGATGGTAAGTCATTGGGGTGAATCTCAGTATCTGTCCAATCAATTTATTCAATAAACAGGTACCAAATGAGTCTTTGTTTCAAAGAACTGTCTTAATTTTTCAGCTAGTGTTACTGTTTATAAGGGATCACAGTGCACTAATGCACAAAGACTTAATTATTCATTTATTGGTAGCTCCAAGGCTTGTAAGTGCCCCAAAATGGAAGGGACCAGATAATTCAACAATTAACCAGTAGTATGAGCAGAATTTATTTTATTTATTTTTTGTGCTGGGAACAATTGATGGCAAAAGAAGAAGGGGACAGCAGAGAATGAAGTGGCTAGATGGAGTCACTGAAGCAGTTGGTGTGAGCTTAAGTGGACTCCGGAGAATGGTGGAGGACAGGAAGCCCTGGAGATCTGTGTTAAAATTATTTCTTTGACGACCTTTTCCTATCGGGCCCTTGGGGATCTGTACATGGTTGTGGAAGAGGCTGAACTGAATTTCGGCTGAGTCCTATAGAGTTAGGGAGTAAGTCCAATTGAAATCAGCAGGGATTATTTCTGTGTGAATATACTTCTTAATATATTATGCTTGATATTAGGGCTGGTATCAAGGGTGGGCATGGAATGTTGTCCATGGGGTCATGATGGGTCGGAACAAGCAACACCAACATGAGAATATCTGGGAAATTGCACAGATACAAGTAGGTCAGCTCCTTCAGATCAAAAAGAAACTAAGACAGGTTTGTTGGTTTGTTTGGAATTAGAATGCCGTGTCATCGTAGCAACAAAGATTTAAAACATTGTAGAATGGTATATAACCGTGCTCAGCCACTGCAAGCCCTTTTGGCTCTGGCCTCTTGGCAGAGCAGCAGAGGCACAGGCTGGAAGAGAGTGCTGAGTGGCCAGGGGACTGGCGAAGGCAAGGTAGGAGCTGGGCAGGGGAACAGAGGGCCAGGAGCAGCGGAGAGGAAGGGCGTCATCCCTTGGCTGCGGCCTGGGCTGTCCGGAGACTACCTTCCATGAGACAAAGAGGTTTGATTGTTTGTGCTGTGCTTTACTTTGTTTTTCTTCCAATTTAAATTTAAGTTTCTTTTATCCTTGTGTGTGTGCGCGACTGGGTTTTTGTCTGGGAGAACTGGGCGAGTGAGAGGAACTGCAGGAGAAACAAGGCAGGGGACCAAAGTAAGGTCTCAGAAGGGATCCCAATGGCAGACCAGGAGATGGCCTTGGCGGGAGTCAGGGTGTTGCTGTCCACTGCGAAAGCTGCGACATGTTCGCCCTTCACCCCCAGGAGAGGCAGGGATACACTTGCCCTCGGTGCAAGCTGGTGACCCTGCTAGAAGAGGAGGGGAGGTGCCTGAGGGCCGAGAAAGCTCTCCAGGCCCCCCCGGAGCAGCCCCCCTCTGGACAGAGGGTTGAGGGAGAGACCACTGGAGGAGCAGCTGCAGAAACATGGAGGTATGTCACCCACAGGAGGAGGAGGCCAGCACAGCCTCCTCCTCCTTCTGGCACCAATCTGGAGCTGGGCAACAGGTTCTCTCCACTTGGGGAGGCTGGGGCTGATGAGGCCTCGGGGGACCAGCAGGATCCCCAGCCTGGGACGTCAGGCAGCAAGGGGGCCACTGTGGGAGAGGCAAGGGTCAGAGCACGGCTGCCCACCAGCACCGGGAAGATACGGCGGCGGGTGATTGTTGTTGAGGGACTCCCTGCTGAGGGGCACTGAGGCGGCAGTGTGCCACCTCAACCTGGAGGCAAGGGAGGTTTGCTGCCTGTCGGGCACACGCATCCAGCATGTGAAGGATAGAGTGGAGTGTCTTGTTCGCTCCGGGGATCACCAGCCGCTCCTGGTGATTCATGTGGGCACAAACGATGTGGCCAGGCAGGGTGTGGTTGGGACCACCCGGGACTTTGAGGCCTTGGGGAAGAAACTCAGGGAGCTGAAGGCCCAAGTGGCCTTCTCGTCAATCTTACCTGTCCAAGGATTTGGGCCAGGAAGGGACAGGAGGGTCTCCAAGGTGAACAACTGGCTTAGGGTGTGGTGCCAGAAGGAACGCTTTGAGTTCCTCAACCACAGCACTCATTTTCTTGCCAATGGACTTCTGGCAAGGGACGGGTTACACCTCACGAGGATGGGGAAAAGGTCCTTTGGAGATGCTCCAGCGAGCTTCATCCGAAAGACTTTAAACTGAGCCGGGGGGGGG